AAGGTACTGTTGCATCATAAGTAGCAAGGCCTTGAAGCAATTATTCATGCAAATATGAAAACTAGGGAGCAAAGAAACTAGTAAAGACTGATATACCCTTTGCTAAAAGGTTTCCTATTGGATGCCTACTAATTGTCAAACATTACTTCTCAAATTCAAAACTATTTTAGTGGCAAAKGTTTATATACAAAGAGAGACATGATCAAGATTTTATAGTAAGGAGTCGTTTATCAAACACTTACCCGGTAAGTGTTTATTTGTAAAATTTTACACTATCATTTCCTTACCGGGTAAGATTTTAGTTCACCAAAATGACATTGTATGTTATCACTATTATTGAGTGAACGCCTTTCTGAATGATCTAATTTGGCCTTATGTTCAAAACACCATTAATTCTCGTAAAAATCCAAAAAGAAAAAAGAAGAAAAAAGCTATGTTTCGCAGAATCGGGAGTACCAAGTGTGAAGGGTTTTTATTTTCATTAAATATCCAAAATTTGCCCACAATGTCTSATTCWTGCAAACTACAATGTTTTATTTGACATGTTCACAAGWAGGATGGTTAATTTTGCAACAGAAAGCCATGAAAGATGGTTCAAAAGGCCTCACTCAATGATCATTAATATTTCATTTACCACCAATCTCGAATATTGCATAGATAATTATTTTTGGATGTCCCATGAAAACTTTGAAAGTATTGTTTCTTCATAATTTGAAGCTCAACCAATCTACTTCTCAATTTTTGTCATTAGTATTATGGATGCTATTGCTTTAGCCTTCTGGCCCACAAGTTTTCTCTATTGCATTATTAAAGTGTAGTTTCAACTTTCAACATCTGATTAATAGCCCGAAATGCATCCAAAGCCATGAAGCATGTCCAATATCAGCATCCAGGAAGCTATAAAGCATGTCCAATATCAGCATCCAGGAAGCTATAACCAGCATATAGGCTAATGGGAGGGATTCTTAAGTGGTCCCAATTGGTCTGCATCATTCTTCAAGGCAAATGGCAAATTGTATTCAGGAAAGTCCTCTCTCCTGGATTAAATGTCTCAGATAATTCCTACGCCGATCACATAACAAGCTGTTCGACCTCTTTCCCAATTATCTCATTGCTACAGAAAATCTCTAATCATAGTGGTCAATGTAGAAGATAAATGCACATTCTTTATCCACCATAGAATTCTTATATCCAACCTCTTGTTTTGGTAAATGTGGAAGTCCAGTCCAACAGCACCCCACCCCCAATATCATCAATAATTTATAATATTACTCAAGTTGTACAAAAACCGTGGGAGGGAATACATAAAACCATGGATTGTTTTAATTCCAATTTGTCATCTCAAAGTTGGTTTCTCCATCAACATAGAGGAAGCATCTGGAGCTTTGGTGAGATTTTCTTTTTCTTTTCCTTTTTGTTTTCAACAATGGTGGCAGTTGTGCCAAGCTTTATAGCTAAAGTCATACAACATTAATAGAGATTTAGAGAAGATCAAACAAGTTGTAACAGGTATCCTCTTCCAAAAAAAGAACAAAGAAAATCAAATAATAGCAGACAAATGTGTAAAGCTGACTGTGTCCATGTAAAAACTGACTTGCACGCATCACCGACAATGAAGTTGGCTTGTCTAGGGTTTATGATTCAGAAGAAGGGTGAGACCAGGATGATGTTATTCACCACACAAGAAGGTTTGTGATAATAAATTATACAAAACCATAAGCAACAATGTAGGGAGCGAAGTTTGTCTAGAAATATGAAATTGAGAGGTCTTACCTGTGAATCGATTGGTGACCGATGAAGAAGGCGAGACTGGTGACCGATGAAGAAGGGGAGAATGGTGAACGAGAAGAAGGCGTTGCTGGTGCAATTCCTACAACCGATTGATAGAACAAAGGCGTCACTTGGAGAAATCTAGGGAGCCAGGCCTGGAACGACGATTAGAGAAAAAATAGGGAGGGCAAACCTGTCAAAATTTCACATCTGAATCGTATGGAGGGCGTGTGGGTGAAGGAGCGATTCAGATCTAAACTTACCATTCAGACTTTTTTAAAAACCTATCCAAACGATAGAATGTCTGACCGAATCAGACCCTTACTATACCATTAAGAGGTAAACAAACAGACCCTAACAATTATGTGAGAGATATTAAAATATATTTAATAAGACTTCCTATTAAAGTTAACAATTACATATTACTAGCAACCTCAACGAACCTTACTTGACAATCATATTAAATCTAAGGCATACAAAGACATTGGGTTCAATGGGTTCGATTGGGTTCAAATGCTCCTAACCCAATTTCAACCTAACATTTACTATTTGAAGATTTTACGACTTGATTAGGTATCGAGTGGCTTTCGGTTGCGTTGGGTTATCCGGATATGCCCTTTTTTTGTACACCCCCTAATATTATATGTATTTATATGATTGATAAATAGGAATAGAACGTAAGAATTTGGGATAAGATATTTGCATCCTCTAAGGACTAGTTATAGGTGAAAGCACGTTTTGGTCCTAAACTTCAAACTTAGAATGAATACTTAACCAATTAATGAAACCCCCGATAAAATTTGAAAACCGGTTCTTGGTTATTTGAAAAACGATCAAGTCAAAGCCCAAAAAACTTGTCAATATTCATTGCTTTTACTCTAAGTATTTATTATGACTAAAAAGTTAAAATAATATCATAATTAACCGTTGTGTTTATAATTATATACATATATATATATACATTATATATATGTATATGTATATATATGGTTCAAGTTAAAGAAAGGGAATGAAAATGGGTTTAAATGCAATCAAGGTGTTGTACATGTGTGTTTTAAAAGGAAAAAAAAGTTATTAGTTAAGTTGAGTTAGTTTTGTTATTGGTTTAAGCTGAGGGGCTAATTTTATAAAACCCACATTAAGTTTAAATTAGATTGGGCTGAATTCTCATCTATTTGGCTCATGATCAAGCCTTATGTCCACGTCTCCACTCACCCTAATAAGTTTCTTTTCAATCCCAAAACAGTCCTGAAGAGTGAGGAAAAGATAAACCGATTGAAAGAAGGAAGAGAAAAGGAGCAACGATTTGAAGTAGTCTCATCGACTTTGAGGTAAGTTTTCGTCTCAATATTGAAGTTGGGTGATTAGCTACTGCGGTGTGAGTTTTTTGGGGTTTGTTTGGGTAGAAACAGAGTCGTTTCGGTGGCTCAAAAGTCGTCGATTCGGTTAAACAATAATGGCAGCAGCTAGGGTTTGTCAAAATCCTCTTTAGAACCCAAAAATTCTTCTCGTTTTCCTCTCAAATTTAATCCCGTATATGCTTAATGTTGATGCATATAATTGTCGTTATTTTATCGCCAAAAAAAATTATGTGAATCGCCAAAAAAAAACCGGGTCAAAACAAATCGATTTTCAGTTGAGTTTGTTGCTGCTTTTACAGTCGTCCGAAAGACGTGACCTTTTCGTTTAGACTGCTTATCTGCTTGGGAGGGGGTTGTCCGAAAGGAAGTCGAGTCTCGGTTACGTAAACTCCTTATGTGGTTCGCATAATATGGATATATATAGGTAGAGGTTCAAACGAGAACCCCTATGATTTACGAGAACAACCCAATAACCTCAAATTTTTTTAATTAATAAATTAACTTATATTAAATATAAATAAATTAATAAGGGCAGTAATGTAATTAAGTAATTTTTATAATTTTTATTTTATTTTAATTAATTATAATTATCCTTTTTTTCCTGGATTGATCACGTTCATTTCCACTCTCTTCTCTTCCATTGTGATAATTGTGTGATTGTGTAACCATAACCTATCGAAACCATGATCAATCGAGTGTAACCATAACCTATCGAAACCATGAGTAATCGTTGTGATAAATGTGTGATTGTCTAATCCTAACTGATCGAAACCATGATCAAATTGAGTGTGCAAGTGATGTTATAATAATGATATCACATGATTATCACACCAAATCGTAATGGCCTACAGATTCCCCAACTTGGAAAACATTTGATTTCCAATATCCTGATTTTTCCAAGGAGCCTTGAAATATTAGACTTGGTTTAGCAACTGATGGGTTAAATCCTTTTAGGACTATGAGTGTTTCTCATAGTACATGGCATGTGGTTTTAATGCCATATAACTTGCCACCATGGATGTGCTTGAAACAACCTTATTTTAGGCTATCATTGCTTATACTTGGACCCTCTGCTCCTGGAAATAACGTAGATGTCTATTTAGAACCTTTAGAAGAGGAGTTAAAGGAGTTATGGGATGTTGGAGTGAACACTTATGATGCATCAACCAAGAATAACTTTCAAATGCATGCCTCTTTGTTGTGGACCATAAGTGACTTTCCAGCTTATGCTAATTTATCTGGGTGGAGCACTAAAGGTCAACTAGCATGTCCTTGTTGCCATAAGCATACAAAATCACGACGATTAGAGCATGGGAGAAAATACTATTACATGGGGCATCGTCGATTTTTGCCAAAAAGACATGTTTTTTGGAGAGACAATAAATCTTTTGATGGCACTGAAGAACATGAAAGGCCGCCACGCCGCCTAACAGGGTCTGATATACTTGATGAGTTAAATGGGTACGAAATTAAATTTGGGAAACTAGTGAAGGATAATCCAAATCTTCCATTTAACTGGAAGAAGAGAAGTATTTTATTTGAGTTACCATACTGGAAAGATAATTTGCTATGCCACAATCTTGATGTGATGCATATAGAAAAAAAAAATGTTTGTTATAGTGTGATTGGCACCTTGATGAATTTGGATGGAAAGACTAAAGATCATATAAAGGCACGTCTTGATTTACAAGAAATGGGTATTAGACCTGCACTTCATCATAAAGCTTACGATAACGATAAAGTGTACCTGCCTCCAGCTTGTTTCTCAATGGATAAGAAGGAGAAGGAAATATTTTGTAATGTCTTAAAAAAGGTGAAAGTKYCGGATGGATATGCATCTARCATATCAAGATGCRTGCAAGTAAAACCTCCAAAAATAMTTGGGCTTAAAAGTCATGATAATYATATTTTGAKGCAGTAGTTGCTTTCGCTCGCCTTGCGAAAAGTTTTACCTAAGCATGTTCGCTTTCCTTTGATGAAATTATGTCGTTACTATAGACAGTTATGCTCAAAAGTTCTTAGACCTCAAGATTTGGTTGAACTTGAAAACGAGATCGGAGAAACTCTTTGCGATCGAGCAAGGATTTTCCCACCATCGTTCTTTGATGTCATGGTTCATCTTTCAGTTCACCTTGCGTCAGAGGCCAAAATAGGCGGTCCAGTTCATTACCGTTGGATGTATCCAATCGAGAGGTATGTATTTTTTTTTAATTTTTATTAATATTACCGATACAAGTATTATTATTATTTTTTTAACTTTTTCATTTTATGAATTTTTAGGTATTTGTCCACACTGAAATCTTATGTTCGAAATAAAAGTAAAGTCGAGGGTTCGCCTGCAGAAGGATATCTAGCTGAAGAGTGTCTTTCTTTTTGTTCATTGTACTTATATGATGATATTGGGTCTAGACATAATAGGACAAGTCGAAATTATGATGATGGTGGTTGTCGGGGTGTTTTACCTCTTTTCTCGATGTCGGGTCATTCCGTGGGGGCTATAGAGACACAAACACTGGACCTTGAAACTTTGGCTGAAGCACACTCATATGTGTTGTTTAATTGCAACAAAGTCGATGAATTCATCACGTAAGTCAACAATTTTACATCATGAATTTTAGTACAATTAGTGTTTTGAGTCTTGTAACACTATATACTTATACAGTGAACATCTAAATATTGTTCGTGATCAAAATCGACAATTACGTGAGCAAGAATTGCAGCGTATTTATGGTAAAACTTTTGCATTATGGTTCCAAAATCATGTAAGTAATGATTAGATTAAATTATCATATTACATTTTATAATTTATGCCAAGTGCTTTTTAATTATAATATTTTATGTACTCATACTCAGGTTGAAGAATTGCATACTTTAGAGGATCAAAGAATCACAGAGGAACTAAGGGCCTTGGCAGGTGGCCCTATTGAGGTTGTAAAAAAATACAAGGGATTTATTATAAATGGTTTTAGAGTTCACACGCAAGAACTTGAGTAGAAAAGAAAAACACAAAATAGTGGAGTTGTGCTTGATGCGAGGACAAATAGCTTCTCGAGCGTTAGAGATAACAATCCTATTATGGGAGATGTAACCTACTATGGGGTCTTGAGAGATATTATTGAGTTAGATTATTCGATTGACAAACAAGTAGTGTTGTTTGATTGTGATTGGATCTCAACGGGTAAAGGGAAAAGGGAAGATGAGAATGGGTTTACTCTACATAAATTTAGTGGATGTAAGAAAGTTATAGGACTAGATGGTTGTTTTTTGAAAGGGTGTGCAAAGGAGAGTTAATATTGGCTATTGGTCGTGACATAAGTAATCATATTTACCCTATAGGTATGTACATCGAAACTATGCTTGTTATATTACTGTCAAGTGTTGTTATTTGTTTAACCACTTACAATGTTGAATGCTTATGTAACTTAGGTTGTAGTAGATATGGAGAATAAAGAGAAGTAGAAGTGGTTCATTGAACTATTAATAGAAGATATTGGTGTTATCGAAGTAGCAGGGCTTACCATCATGTCTGATCAACACAAGGTATGCATTTTGTTAACATTAACAAGTGTATGCTTTATGTCAAAGTAGAAGTTTATGCACTATCATTCTTTCTATGCAATAGGGCATTTTTGAAGCTGTAAATGAGTTGACACCATATGCAGAGCATAGACAATGGGCAAGACACATATATGCTAATTTTCGTAAAAGGTTTAACGATGTTGACTACAGAAACATTTTTCAGGCATCAGCTACGTCCACTTTTTGAAGCAGATTTCATGTCACACGTGAAAAAGTTTAAGATACTAAATCTTGATGCATATAATCACTTGATGGAAGAAGACCCTAATACATGGTGTAGGGCATTTTTTCAACCTTGCAGAGCTAAGGATATTTGTTATGGAGAGGTATTATAGAATGTTAAGCAAAGCACAAGAATGGGAATCAATTGTTTGTCCGATATTTGTTTCATTTTCTATGTATTTTTAAAATCTTTATTTTAGTATCTTAACTTTGATGTTTTAAACATTTAGGTGTTTAATTTATATATGAAAATGTAACGTATTTTGTTCGATAATTATGTGTAAGATACTTTAGTTTTGATGTTTAAGATATCACTAAAATGAAGATTTGAAATTACATATACAAAATAAAAACTATGTATTAGATTTTGATATAATATGCCTTAAAATAAAAAAATAAAAAGTAGTTGTATTTTAAAAAAGCCATGTAATCACCTTAGATTTGCGAGTCTAGAAGTTGAAATTGTGGTTATAGGACTAAAATCAAGCTGTCCCACACTCTTACACTTTGATAGTGTTGTCCTTCTCTCCCTCTTTCTATGTTTCTCAGTGTGTCTAAGTATGTGAGTTTTGTTTCTACCGAGTACAAAATGAGAAATGAAGAAAAGCATGTCGTCTATATTTGAGAGGAGCATTTTGTCTGCCACTTCATAATGCTAAACCTTAAAGTCCACATACCAAACGCATTTATAATTGTTATATATGGTAAAAAAATCATTATAGAACATTCTAGGGACAATTTGGTCCATTTAACATTTGCGAACACATCCTAAGGTATCTAGAGGGATATGTCACAAAGGACTTTAGTTTAAAGACCTATGACATTTTGGTCTTACCAAACGCTCTGTCTCGTCCACTTCCAGCCTAGGAATTCCACATACCAAACACATCCTAAGGTATCTAGAAGGAATACCTCAAAAAGGACTTTAGTTTAAAGACCAATGACCTATGTTGTTACATAGATCAAAATCTGAGATCACAATCGCTGTGATTTGACATAGTGGTCCAGAATTGGCATTCATTTAATAATTAGAATTATAAATGTATGTAGTCAAAAGTCCATTAGTGTCGTTAGAATAATGTTTTATAGTAACTAATGCAACGGATACTCAACTATGTTTTGATGATAGAACTATGAACTACAAATTCGCATGCACAATATTGAAACTGCTTTAAATAATGTCTTGGAATTGATTGATGGTTTGATTCAAGAGGTGTGACAGTCCACATGATCTCGGATACGAGTGCAAGGAGTGATACATATACGTATACATGCATACATACACACACACACACACACACACACATATATATATATATATAAAGCCCCACTAATTCATCTTCTATAAAGATACATTGTGATAACAAAACAACATTCTAAATTATGCACAATCTAGTCTTACACGATTTCACTAAACAAATGGAGGTTGACAAGCATTTCATTAAGGAAAAAATCAATTATGAACTTGTTCATATGAAATACTTTCCTAGTGGAGAGCAAGTAGCTAACATTTACACTAAGGGACTACACAGAAGACAGTTTGATGTCCTAGATGGCAAACTGCGTATGAAACAGACTTGGAGTATTAGAAATCAAGAAACTTGTTCATATGTTTGCATTTTAAAATCACAATATCAATAATAGAATATTCATTATGTGCAAACCTACTTTTCAAGTAAGGTTTCATGAGCATGTTTGCTAATGCATGGCCTGTTCATATTATAGGTTCGTTAGAAGGATAGGTTTTCACACCTACACATGATTTCATAGAAGATAAGAATGAAACTCTATATGCTTGGTACTCTCGTGGAAGCCTTTGTTCTCACATTATGGATTGCAAATTAATTATTTTGACATGGTTGTGGTAGTTTGTTTCATAGAAGCAAGACCAGGGTAGCAAACTATGCATGGGGATAAAGACGGGAGGAAGGGAGGCAGAGAGGTAAAGAGTAGGGCATAGGATTAGTGATTTGGTAGTTAGGTTACTAGAAGAACCCTAGGTTAGACTAGGAATATGTATTTTCCACACCTTGGTTATGTTCTTCATGTACTTGCTTCTATCTATACTGTTGTTGCTTACTTGTATATAGTTTTTCAATTTTATCAATATTTGTCTCTTTTTTTCTATTTTTTATTGTTATTCCTTACTCATATCTAGCTTTTCGATTTTTAGCGTTTCTATAATTTCTACCTTTCATGCATTTTTCATTAGTCAGGGGTCTTAATGTAAACAACCGCTCTACTCTACTATACAAGGTAGAGGTCAAGTCTGCATACATCATAGCCTCTCAAGACCTCGCCTCTGGGTGGGATATATATGGCTCGATTAGTATGGTATGCTTTTTAGCTTGTCCAGGAGTGGGCGAACTTGCATAAATCATGTTTGTCCAAGTATTTCACAAGTGACATATACCATGGACTAGTATTTAGGTTTTGCACCAGAAAAGGGAATCATTTGGTTTCTCTTGCTCTTATTGGAGACTATGTTCTCTTGATAACCTGCTCAATTTGTAACTCAGAAGAATGTGATCTTGCCTCACTTTCCTCTAAAAACGCTCCTACTTGCAGTCTCCCTTATATCGTGGGATACCTAGAAAGATGTCCATACTTGCATTTTCAGCTTGCCCACCAAATTTATAAACAACATCATTTGACCTCTCTTGCAAATAGCAGTTTCAAATACATCACCCATAATTGAATCTCCATATGGACAACAACATGAACATAAACTTAAATGACGGCTCAACCTTGAGATTAGGATTAACATGTGACAACTTTGTTATCAAATTTAGCATTAACAAGTGCCAACTACATCTCTAAATGACACCTCAACCTTGAGATTGGGATTAAATCCCAATCTCGTTATGAGACTAATGGTAATCCTACTCCTATTAAACCAACAAAACTTCAATGAAAAACGATAAACCATCCATGAAAAATCAAGCAACTTGTGACATTTTTTAGAGAGAGAAACAAATTAACGTTCACGTAAATTCGTTGACAAGAAAAAACAAGGTGTTAGGATTTCAAGAGAACCAAACACATAACAGAAACAATGATTAAATCCTAAGATTGATCCATGTGAAAATAAAAGTAAGATAGAAGCTATACCACACATGAAAAAACACGGGGAATTCGGTAGTCTAGTCTACCGCAATGCAAAAAACATATCCACATCTTTATTGATATCCACAAAATTGATTTTTCTTGTCATCATTGGTTGTTCAAAAGTTGCAAAAAACAAGGCTGCATATTCTTGCTAGAAGATATTGGAGAAATAAATTAAATTTAGAGAGGAAAGACTTTATCAATGTATAGAACAAGAAGAGCAATGTTTCATAAGTCGGTGTCTTCATGGAAACAATCCCTAGGCGTAGAGGTTAGTTTGCATACATCATACCCTACTACGTCCTGGTGGGATGTACTTGCTAAGGGATCATGTTGCTATAGATGATAAATTGCCCCAACATTATTTGACTTTGTTACATGTGCATGAATCTACAGAGAAATTGATTTTAAAATATTGAAAAACAAAAAACATAGAACTCTTAACTCTTAAAATTTTGATCCTTATCATTATGTTTTACTATTTTTATCATAACATAGGAATTAGAAGATAATTCTTCTTTCTTATTATTACTGCTTCAAGTAATCTTTTGGCGCTCCAATTTTGGATAGATATGCTTCATTCTCATCATTTGAGGAGGAAGGCTCACACACTGCATCGAGAGTACATTCTTTGTTTCTTTGCAACTCTTCCATTTTGAATTTTATTTGCATGAATCTATAATACCCACGAATGGCCACATATTCCTTATATGTTTTACCTCCAAGCAACCTTTTTATATAATCATCAAGCATTTGTCCTTCATTCTTCTCATTTGCCAAATGCTAATTCACTTCATCAAGTTCTTTGTTAAAATCTTGTAGTTTGGTTTCATGATTAGAATTGACAGCCATGTTGATGAAATCATTTGGTTGTTGGTTGAGTTGATTTGGGGTTGAGAAATTTGTTTACAACAGATTGAACGTTGGGGCTACCAAAAGAGCGAGGCTTTCCAGTAAAGGAGAAAAGAATGATTGCAATCTGTATATGACATAGTGTGGCTAGCTCGTTGGCTTTTTTGAATATGCCATTGCACCGTTTAGACAAGGTAATCACTCTTTCCTTTTCATTTTCAATTTTTTTCAGTTGTATCTTCTTTCGACCCTTGCTTGGTAATCTTGCCATAATGTCAAAATTTAGATTTTCATATCCATATCAAATATGCACTTAGATCAAGTCTTTGTGTTCTAAATGAATCTCGCCCCCCCCCCTCTCTCTCTCTCTCTATATATATATATATATAATTATATATAAGATCATGTTCAAACGAAAAGGTGGTCAATTTGCGAAAAGGCAAGACGTTTCAATATCATACATGATACACATGCTTATCATATATGATTAAACACATTCAAAGGAGTGTAATCATATATGATATTGAGACTTCTTGCATTCTTGCTTCTCATATATATATATATATATATAAGATATACAATTTATATTATAAAAGTATTATATGTTATAAAGATTTATATGTTAGAAAAATACTATATAATTATAAAAAAAATCTAATATATAAATGTTTATAATTATAATATATAAATTATGTACGATTAATAAATAAAATATGACAAATTATGCATGAATGCTTACAATATAGTATAAAAAAGATACATGAATATATAGTTGATTTATAATTATTATAATCTTAAAAGAAAAGAATCCCACGTAACAAACTCACACGCATTGAATAATAAATTATATTTATGAGCCCTAATTAATATTGAAGAGTACGTATACATTTTTAGTAATAATTGCTAATTTTTTACCATCTCCATAGTATATGTGAAGCATTTGTAGTTACAATTTCATAAGAAGTAAATACTATATTATACACTTTGAAGGTAAATGTGAAAAGG